AAACCACCCGGGGGAGCCCCGAAACTGCCCTGGGGATCCCTGAAACCCCCCTGGGGATCCCTGAAACCCCCCTGGGGGTCCTTGAAACCGCCCTGGGGGTTCCTGAAACTGCCCTGGGGAGCCCCGAAACCACCCGGGGGCTCCTGAAACTGCCCTGGGGGTCCTTGAAACCACCCTGGGGAGCCCTAAAACCACCCTGGGGAGCCCTGAAACCACCCTGGGGATCCCCGAAACCGCTCTGGGGATCCCCGAGACCGCCCTGGGGAGCCCTGAAACCACTGCCCTGGGAGGGTCTGGGGGTCCCCGAAACTGCCATGGAGGTCCTGGAAACTGCCCTGGGGGGCCCTGAAACCACCCGGGGGTCCCCAAAACTGCCCTGGGGGGTTCTGAAACAGCCCTGGGGAGCCCCGAAACCACCCGGGGGAGCCCTAAAACCGCCCTGGGGGGCCCTGAAACTGCCCTGGGGATCCCTGAAACCCCCCTGGGGGTCCTTGAAACCGCCCTGGGGGTTCCTGAAACTGCCCTGGGGAGCCCCGAAACCACCCGGGGGAGCCCCGAAACCACCCGGGGGAGCCCCGAAACCGCCCCGTGGGGCAGCCCGGGATATAGGGGGCGCCTCGAAACTCACATTGTCGGTGAGGGTGACGTCGGCGCCGCGGGTGAGGAGGCGGCGAATGACCTCGATGTGTTTGTGTTCGGCCGCCCAGATGATGGGGGTCCAACCCCCGTTGTCCTAAAAAAGTGGGGGGGAAGAAAGGATTTTGGGGTGTGTCCCCCCCCCCAAAAAAGGGGCGGGGCCTCAATTTAAAGGGGACACGACCCCCCCTCACCTGGGCGTTGACGTCCACTTGCCCCGTGGCCAAGAGAAGATCCACCATCTCCAAGTTGCCGTTCTTGGCCGCGTGGTGGAGGCAGGTGGAGCCATCTTCTTCCTGGGGGGGGGGGGTTACGATGACGTCAGAGGATGCTGATGACGTCACGCGATGATGTCACGACCCCCCCCTGATGACGTCATCACCCACCTTGCTATACACACAGCCCCCCCGGCGCACCATGTACCGCGCCGTCTCCACGTGGTTGTTGGCCACCGCCTCCATCAAGGGGGTGCGACGCAGCTTGTCCGTGGCGTTGATGTTGGCCCCCGCCTTCAATTATTTTATTGGGGGGGGGACATAAGATTAAGGACCCCCCTGGACCCATAGAAACCCCCCCAGACCCATAG